CATGTTTGTGCTTAAAAGAATGCAAAACAACCACGAGCGACGCGGCACCGGACGGTGTTCGCCAATCACCAGGAAGGGGACGGAGGGGGCACCTTGAAGTAGAGCATGTGGCGCTTGGCCGACGGGTCCCGCATCTTCTTTCTGCACACGTGAGGACCACAGGGCGATGACGAAGGGTTGGTGAGAATTGCTCGATGTTGGGGGTGATGGACTGCAATGCAGTCCGGCAAACCATGGCATTGGCGAGTGCAACACCGTGTTCAGCCTGCACAAACACACACATTGCTCTCTCACTCACACACATTGCTTACACTCACACATTGCTCACACTCACACACACACACTCTGCACACACACACACACACACTCTCTGCACACACACACACACACACACATTGCACACACACACACACACATTGCACACACGCACATACACACAAAGCCACGCACGCCGCTGGTGTAGTTGTGGAAGCGATGCGTCCCAACGAACGTGGACAAAACTTCCTGGAACTTGTCGAGCTGCTCTTGGGTCACGCGATAGGACACGAGGGGCGGCTGTTGCGCTCGAATTGGGAGTGTGGTGAGAAGGAGGGAAAGGGGTCAGATGAGATGGAGACGCAACATCTGTAGGAACACGAGCGTGCGTGCACGCGTGGGTTGAACCCATAACATTGCTCGCACGCCACACCACGGATACACCACTGCACCGTTGCATCGTGAGCTCACCATCTCCTTTGGGCTGAGGGCGTAGGTGGGGAGAAGGTACTCGTAGCGACGGGCAGTGCACTGCCAGCGATCAGAGGCGGCGGTGTGCTCGCACGTGAGTGCACATGCAGTGGAGATGGGGTCGCATGGCAGATACGAGACAAGCGAGCAGCAGGCCATGAACAGGCAAGCAGAGAGCGAAAGAGAGAGAGAGAGTGTGTGTGTGTGTGTGGGGGGGGGGGTGACACGCAAACAGACACACAACAGACAGACAGGCAAACAGGCCAACAGACAGACAGACACACACACAC